CATCCCTGTCCCCGTGCCCCGCCAGCTGGAGTTCCCGGAGTCCCCACCCGCGCCCCCTGCGCCCCACCGCCCACTCGTGTCCTCTGCGCCCCACCGCCCCGCCTGGTGATCACCGCGCCCCCTGCGCCCCTTCCCACGTCGCCCTCCGCCCACTTTCCACCGCACCCCGCACCCCGCGATGCTCCCTGCGTCCTCCCTGCCAGGCTGGCTCCTCTCCCCTGCGCCCCCCACGCCTGCCCCCTGCGCTGCCCAGAGTCGCCCACCTGGCACTTCTTTCTTGGGAAATGCAGGACCCCCGGATGGGGGGGGGGCGCCCCACCTCCTCAGCTCCCGCAGGAGAGTCCCCAAGGCCGCCCTCCCTCAAGCTCCTGGCCTCGGTCCCAGAAGCGCCCCCCCTCTCTGGCCTGGACCCCAGGGCCTGTCCATATGTCAGATCGGAGCTGGGGTGGGTCACCCCGAGACTGAGAAAGACCCCCTCCACCTCCCGCGTGGCAGGGTTCGCTCTGCTTTCTGGCTACAGCCCGTGTTAATTTCTATCCAGTAAAAAACAAACACGAAATGTTGATCAATTTGCAGTTCGTTTGCAGCCGGATGGGCCCCTCCCGCGTGTTTTTGCTGCTGGCAGATGTGCTTTTCTGAAGCCAGATGTGCGTGTGTAAAGCCGGCCTCCCGCGCCTTCACATGGCGCTTTGCACCGCCCGTGGATCATAGGATTTGCCTGTTTCAGCCCTGATCCTCCAAGATCGCATTAAGAAAAGATTTTGTATTGATTTCAGACAGGGAGGGAGAGGGAGAGAGAGAGAGAGAAACATCCGTGATGAGAGAGAACCATGGATCGGCTGCCTCCTGCACGCACCACACTGGGGATGGAGCCTGCAACCCAGGCACGTGCCCTGACGGGATGGAACCCTGACCTCCTGGTTCTTAGGTCCACGTTCAGCCATGGAGCCACTCCGGCGGGGCCCATCTCGCATTTTAATTCGATAGAGAACGCCATGGAGAAAGGTTAGCCCACCTGTTGGGGGTGACCCGCAGCTCAGAGATGGCGGTCAGCAGAGTCCCTGAGGTGTTTTGGGCTGTTTTCCGGTGTGTGCCGGCCACGGGCCCAGCATGGCTGGCTTGGGGGTGTTTCTTTCCACCTCTGATGTTGAGAAGAGCTGTCCCATGGAGTAGGAAGTCCGAATGGCTGCTGTCATATCAGCTGCTTTATGTGCTCGCCTGGGCAAGGGCGATGCATCAAAAACGGATGGAGCCCAGCTGGTGTGGCTCGGTGGTGTGGGCGACGACCTAGGAACCAGGAGGTCACGGTTCGATTCCCCGTCAGGGCACATGCCCAGGTGGCGGGCTCGATCCCCAGTGTAGGGCGTGCAGGAGGCAGCTGATCCATGATTCTCTCTCATCATTGATGTTTTTCTCTCTCTCTCCCCCTCTCCCTTCCTCTCTGGAATCAATAAAAATATGAGAGAGAGAGAGAGAAAGAGAGAGAGAGAGAGAGAGAGAGAGAGAGAGAGAGAGGAGAGAGAGAGAAAACACACACAAAAAAACACTCATGGGGCTCCATCCACCCAGCGGCCTGTGCGGCTGAGCCGCTCAGCAGGTGCGTTGACTAATGTTGATCGGGATTCCAGAGGCTGTTTGGTGGTAGCCTCCGGTGTTTGCGATCAAATCAAGAACTTAACCTTGATGATGAGAGAGAATCCTTGATCAGCTGACTATCACCGCCAGAAGCAGCGAGTAGGCGCGGAGAAGAGGAAGCGATGGCTACACAGTGAGTCACGCGGGCCCTGAACCCACCCAGCCCCCCAGTTCCCTAAATTTGAGGCTGTAATAGAAACCGTGGTATGGCCGCAGGGGCCAGGGTGGACCTACAGCGGCTGCCTGGGGAAAGGAAGAGAAGGAGGCGTGCAGAGCCGAATAAGCCAGGCCTCCCCTCCATCTCTCTCTCCTCGACAATAACTCGCTTTTTCGAGGCCTCAGTTTCCTTCCTTGTAAAAGTGAGGGGAGAGGAGGGTGTGCCTCAGAGGGGGGCACGCACAGGGCTGGCCGGTTTGGCTCAGTGGATAGAGAGTCGGCCTGCGGACTGAAGGGTCCCGGGTTCGATTCCGGTCAAGGGCACGTACCTCGGTGGCAGGCTTCTCCCCAGCCCGGGCCCTGGTCTAACTAATTAATGTGTTTCTCTCACATGGGTGTTTCTCTTTGTCTTTTTCTCTCTTCCATTTTCTCTCTAAAAATAATTGGGAAAATATCCTGGGATGAGGATTAAAAAAAAAAGATAAGAAAAGAAACGCTCGCCTTAAGCAGAGCAGCCATGGGAGAGGCTGGTAGGCCATGGGTTGACGACACCAACCCCCGTGCAACTCCCAGTCTGAAGCAACCCCCCGTTTCCCAACGAGCAGGTTGCAAAAGTCTCGTGTGGTGTTTCTTGTCCCCGTGGCCAGCTTGAATATGCAAGTGAACCAATCAGCTTTCTGGTTATCAGGGTTGAGCTCTTGATCGAATCGCATGCATATATAAAGTTGCCTGCATAAACACACGTATGTAGAAAGCTTGCCTTTCCCCACTCGTCCAGGCTTCGTCATCACGCAGGCTCAGGGGAGTGACCTCACTCCGCCTTCCAGAACACGCCCGCTCGCTTCTGTCCGGCCCAGGTGTCTTTGAGATGTAGTGTCGTTTGAGTCTGTATGTTGTGGTCACTGGCAATGCCATCTCCAGAGCAATATCCATGAACCCTTTGCGGTCTCCATCAAGCGGACTTCTTCTTGTGCTTTTAAAAGGGATCTCAAGCCCGGCCGGTGTGGCTCAGTGGTTGAGCATTGACCTAGGAATCAGGAGATCAGTGTTGGATTCCCGGTCAGGGCACATGCCCGGGTTGCAGGCTCGATTCCCAGTAGGGGGCGTGCGGGAGGCAGCCGATCAAGGATTCTCTCTCATCATTGATGTTTCTAGCTCTCTCTCCCTCTCCCTTCCTCTCTGAAATAAAACAAAAGTACCCATTGCCTAGTGCCCTCGTTGGCATCTGAGCTGCAAGGCCCCGGATGGCAGGGAACTTGCCGTTCTGGAAGGAGGCCTGGTGGCACAGGCTTGGGGACGGCTGGCAGTGGGAGTGGACAGCGGGAGAGGCAACATCTCATCATTGGGCAATGCCTCTCCCCGGAGAGAGGGCACGGAGCCGGGGTCTATGCAGCCAACGTGAGGTGGTTGGGCAATTGTCCCGCACGCTCCCTCCAACTCCGGCGGGAGTGTTTAGGCCAGCGGTTCTCAACCTGTGGGTCTCGGCCCCTTTGGCGGTCGAACGACCCTTTCACAGGGGTCGCCTAAGACCATCCTGCATATCAGATATTTACATGACGATTCATAACAGTAGCAACATTACAGTTTTGAAGTAGCAACGAAAATAATTATATGGTTGGGTCACAACATGAGGAACTGTATTTAAAGGGCCAGAAGGTTCAGAACCACTGGTTAGGCCCAAGGGTCCTACGTGACCACGGTCTGCAGGGACCAGAGAACTGTTCGTGGAGTTTTGTAGTGATGGCTTTTCCAAAGGAGGGATGGAACCGATATGATTTTTAAATTTTATTTATTTTATTTTCGGTTAATCCTCCCTGGACGATATTTTTTCCCCCCATTGGTTTTTAAAAACAGTGGAAAGAAGGGGGAGAGACACACAGAGAGAGAAACATCGATGTGAGAGAGAGACATTGATTGGTTGTCTCCCGCACGTGCCCTGACCATGGCCGGGGATCGA